GAAGCTTCGCAACAAAGATTAGAAAATGAGTATAGCAAAAGCTAGAACAAGCATGGGCGCAAATTTCTTCCTGGTCAGATATAGCTATCTGTGGAATAAAGTGCTAATCACACTCAGGTCATGTGACAATGCAGCAAACTCTCCAGTTACTTTGACCTGAATACCAGGATGACTATATTCACATTGGAAAATCCCTCGATGAGCTATTCCAAGAGGGGTTCAAAAACATGTAAACACCCATGTTTCAAAACCTTGAATTTCGCCTTAACCATGCACCAAAACGCTATTGCATGAATCTCATGTGACAACATTGCACATAAGCAAATCGTCTATGCAAGAGCATGGTTAGTTTTGTACAAATTGATCTGTGCGGCTAGTTACAGTTTCTTGGATCATGAAAAATAGATGTAGCATTGTTATTATTATTAGATAAGGAAACAACTACGCTTCAGTTGCAATCTTTGAAGCCCCGTCCTTAGGTAATATTTTTCCGGAAACAAAGAAAGGGCAAATTACAGTCATAATGCACACAAATAAATACAAGGGTAAGCCTATTACCTCTTCTGAGTAGTTTTCCAAGTGTGTTGCTAACAAGTAGACGTGAATGGTGACCAATCTCAAAAGTCGTCGATCGTCCGCAGCAGACCAAACAGGGTCAGGGGATGAGGAGGACAACACAAACTCGTTCGCCAGAGATACCAACACGGATGACTCTAAGAAAACAACACGAAAGAGGTAAGTCGTTAGTGATCGGTTGTCCACGTGAGTGGGAAGAAAGAAAAGATATAATATAATGCCTACCTGCCTCGAGAGAAAGAGCGACATACAGATCGGTCAAAAGCTGACAGGCATCGCGCACAGGCCGTACGGAAGACATAGAAGTGTGACTCTGAATGGGATGTGTGCGCAACAAGTTCTTTAAGTTTGTATTCGCAGCAGGAAATGGGCACTGGCACGCGATTGCTCTGATGTAATAATACATAGATGTGTCCACAGGCTTCCGGGGTACCTTTAAGAGTGAAAGAAAGAAGTGGCAGAACGCATAAACAATATGCATACAGACTCAGTGTAGCAGTTGGACTGTTGAGATGAGAGGGCGTGCTGTAATGTTAACCTAATGAATAAAGGCTACCGTGGCACTAACCTTAGATGACTGCAAAATGGCCAGCTGGTTGAATGGATGTCCCGATTCTGGGTGAACTATCCAAGCCCAGATGTAGAAACCCGCAGCCACATTGAATTGATGACGATAACTGAAAAAGGTAATCAGGAGGGATACATCAGAGCGCCACAGCTGAGTAGTGAACAAATACCGACAAAAGTCCAGTGGAATGCGGAAAAAGACAGATCGTCCAGTGGGAGTAGTACAGGTGAAAAAATACATAAATGGTTTCGCGGTGTAATCTCATCAAACCGAGGATAATATTTCCCAAGGACGATGGTGCGAGACCAAAGAAATCAAAACTTCATAAGAGTACAGGAGGATAGTAGCAATGAGTGTGCGATGTTATTATTATTACGACGAAGTGAAAGCAGATGACTGGGATCAATGCGCCTCAGCGGAAGTTTGATGAGAAGAACGTGCAGCACAGGTCTTCAGTCATCGATGTGATCGGTTTAGCGATCCTATCCAAAAAGACTGAGTGTGAACACACACAAAAACCCTTTGGAAAGCTAGTATGTGTTTTTAACATGTCACCATTGGCCATAAATTAGCAGTGTTGAGAAAGGCAGCCGCTGTGCCAACTGGAGTACGTTGTATTCATCCACCATGATCCGCGTTGCCAGTCACGACGTATATGGAAACGATGAGAAATCTTTACAGAATCTACAATATAAAAATCGATGTGGTTTTCAAAGGAACCTAACACGTAGAAGAGTGCCACTGGCCGGTGGCAAAAGTGTGTGAGTCGTAATCCACGGGTCACCCAATCGAGTATGGATAGGTGTGGGTAAATTCGCAGCAACATATTCCATACACATTCGATGGTGGTCGCGTGATAGCGTCACCAGTGGACTGGTGACACATCTGCCGTTTCATACAGTTGCGTAAGACCGACACAGACGGACGACCAATTTTAGCTGTTTCCCTATGTCACTGATCGATCAACTAAACGTAGTACTCCACAAGCTTGGTCTCAGAATATCAATCATGAAGAGGTACGTATGCATCCGAAAAAAGCGACATACATGGCACGATAAATGTAGATTTTTCAGAACTACGCAAAGAACATAATAAAGTGCTTTAAGTGATGCAAAGATAGCAGCTGATGTACTCAACCATGGGCTAGGTTTCGATGGTTCGTGGGTACCATTGTGGTTGCTCAAATCATTCCAGTAACGACCGTCAAGGGCGGGAAGAGGGAAAAGAAATACGTAGACATCGCCAGGTATACGGGAGTGAAAGCAGAACAGATGCCAACTAGGCAAACTAAGCACGACAAATGCTGCCTCAAACAGATCCGAGGCTTGATCAATTGCCCCACGTCTAATGACCATGCAATCGACTGACCATTATTCTACAGGTTCCTACGAATAAGCCGACATTTAAAAAAACGATGTCCACCTAAGTATGTAGCCGTCGAAGAACGCGGTCCATCCGAGGAAAGCAGTTCGAGTTTAAACGACACAGTAGCAGACACAAACTGGTGGACATCTGTAAGTTATGCACCACAAGTGACTTCACTCGAATCAAACAGTTCAAATAGCAGCCTCATTCGGCTAAATTTTATGCGACTTAGCGCAAAAACGTAAGCGAGACGTCTATGCTGTGGAGTCAAGGACACACACAGCAGAAGAAAACGACCACCAGTCCAGTCTGGCCAGCATACATCCCGAAAGGGCCTCCCAGACGCGTTTCGGATCACGATAACCGTTCAACTCGAAACGTCACGTCATCAAAAATTGTTACTATTTTCGTCTGACGTGTGATGTGGTGCAATAGCTGAGGTGTTTCTCACCTCGATCTAACGTGGGGAAACTTGAATGAATTTATACATACTTCCGGAGGAATCTGCCTTTGACGGCTTCTGAACCGCATTTGATTGGGGAATACACCGAGGCAATAAAAGGCACTACGTCGCCTACGGGTTCTAATGGGACTTCGAAATCGCATCGCGCGCGTGCGGTAACTCACTGGGATCCCGCTGAATGGATTGGATACAACTGCTGTGTGCAAAGCTAGTAGTTCAATTATCGCGAACTGGCAATGACTTGAAAAAGGAGTATAAAGATTAGAACTTCGCGTCTAGCGTCAGTTGGATCCGTGCGTCTCTCAGACTGGGGACCGTGTGAAGCGGATTCCCAATGGTTGGAAGTCTTGGAGGATATGGCCTGCAAAATGGAGTCAATGCTGTTCTACCGGCGCTGCATCCTGTAATTTTTAATGTTGAACAAAACATGAAAACAAAACGGCGTGTGTGAGACTGAGAAAAACAATTTTCTAACGTTTTACTCTCACTGTCCTCCCTAAACCTTATACCCTCCTTTCCCTACCACAGTAACTAAAATCACAGTGATGTTCCGGCTGGTTTGTGTAGTAACAACAAGCCATGTGAGTTGAGACGAGCAGTGGGAAACTGGTGAACAATGCATGTTCTTTCTCAGCATCCGAACAACAGTACTCGTGCTTCACGTCCGTGGAGCCAAATATGCAAAGCATTACCTCCTATGTATGTTTGGAAGAAAGGGCTACACACAATGAAAATGATGTGAAGAGCAAAATTATGCACCACCAATAACTAGCTCTCCCAGTATGAACGGATACGATAGTGCCACCTAATTGACCTCACTGGAATATGTGGACTAGCAAACTAACGTAATCGGCCGATAAGGATGAACGGCAACGGTGAGCGAATGTTATCCGGCGATAGCGCATCAAAAGAGAGCGAACTTGTTCGAGTGATTCTGTCTCCAGACTTCGGCTTAGCAGTGCGGCTAACGAGAGAAGTTGTTACAAGAAAGCCTCTTGCCGCTAAGAGAGGAAAGGTTTGACCTTGTCTTGAAAAGGAAATAGCACCCAAACCGGTTGGTGAGATAAAAGATGTGCTCATCTCACAGTGATTGCATTGTAATTGTGGCACCACGGTAAGTCTGGGGTGCGAAAAGTAGTGAGAAACGAATGAGGCCGCTTCATTTCACAGAAATGACATTCGGGTTTCGTGTATGGACTTGAACAGCTGAAAGACCATTGAGAACTCAATCAGAAAACTCTTTACATACACAAGACAAGTTAGTGTTAACAATCAGGTGTTGTTCATTTGCACTCCACGGAGTCTGTTCCATGTCTGTTTGCACTCATCAAAGTGAGGTGGCAGAATTTAAACTGTAACCAGGAACGTAGGGAATGGCGACCGAAGCCCTTGCCCCTATGCCACAGATTTGCGGGCAACGCTTGCCAAGATGATTAATGACGCGAAGCGGATTTATTTTAAACACACGTTATTATTATTATTCGGGAGCCCAGAAGCGTCCTTAGATAATAGTTAGTAGTGTGTGTATGATGAAAGGGATCAGCAGTACGCCGATAGGCAATATCGACGTTTCGTTGCCGTGCAACCACCAACGGTCGCACGTGGACTAAGGATATTGCGAGGGTCGCCCGGTTCATAGAAGCAAGCTTATGATCCTTAAGACTACCTACCGGCGTGTATATGATGAGCGGTGATTACAATATGAGCAAGCAAATTGATTTTGGACGACAAAGATCCATGTCGACAAAATGGATCATAAATCATGGGTACAGAAGAGTAAGTTGAGAACTGTGGAAACAACAGCTCCAGGATGAAATACGGAAGTCAAACACCGGGAACTGGGTACCAGTAAGTGGTGTCACGCTTCCACTAAAGTATGGAATCGGTCTGAGAGAATACGTGGTCGGAAAAGTGGCCTGTGGATTACGAACCAAAATTTGGACCACAAAGTAAGCAGCAGACTTGAAACAAAATCAGTTCGAGGAGAACAATAAAAACCTGGTGATCAGAATCAATAGTCCAATGAACAGAATCCAAGTACGCTGCAACTGCGTTATGCTAGTAACCAGCAAATAGCGAGAAAAGCAGGTGCAGAAATTTGACGTGCGGTGTTGAAAAACAATGAGATTCCACGGTGCGAAATATTTTCAAGGCAGCCGTCCGACATCGGGATCCGCTGGCAATGACAATACCGCAAACGAAGACATAATTAAAGATGGAGAAGTTACAGTGAAATAATGTGCGAAGTGTGTATTAGCGAGTTCTTTCGATTGCTAGCTAACGTTTCCTGAAACTCGCATGTGTATACAGTTGACAGTCGGCATAACGATCTACAGACAGAGTCGTAAAATGCAAATCACTGTTGCGATTCGCCCTATAACGCAGTGTTCCAGAACAGTTCACTCCGATACGAATGCAATAGCTGTCACTAGCTGAGGCAACAGCTGATGCTCGGAGCACACGTACAAGATTGTGCGTTTCTATCGTTAGTTTCACTTTTTCGATAAGCTCAGTGTTACACAACCAACTGTAAACGAACGAAAACCAGAGCAAATGAAAAGAGACCGCCAATAGTCCTAAAAACGACCTTTGCATAAGACACCCACCGGGCGATATCGCCTAAATGCACAAGACAGTGCTGCGTTAAATAGTTCACAGCGGATTCGCGATCCACGGATGTAGGAGGGGCAGGAAAAGATGGAAAAACACCAGTTTGCGAAACATCAGTGGTGTGATTTGTAGGACTTGTGATAGAAACTGGAGGTGGATTTGAAGCCTCTGATGAGAGAGCATCTTGTGATGGCAACCGGTCACCACGGGAGAGGATCCGAGGGGCGACAGGGGCGGTAACTAATGTGTCCATTTCCTGTTTGTCATCAAGACATCGCAGGGACCCTTGGGACACCGTCGTTCCGAAGTGTTGCAGCGCACTAAAAGTAGCTAAATCCAAGTCAAAGCGTCCAGAAGTGCGGCCTAGTCGAGCAAATTTGTGCATCCCAGTGGGGGCTGCATAAGAGGTCACTGCACCAAGAAGCTGAAAAGTAGTAAGCAAAAGATACCCAACGGTAATTCACGGAAATGACGTGAAATAGTGAAAATGGAAGGGTACTGATTTATAGAACACAAAACGTACACCAAGCAAGACATTCACTAAAAAACTGGGATTTCGAATGAGGTAGGAGTTATATTGCCCGTCGACCCATATCACATTATGGACCGGAGAAAGAGTCATGAAAAAGTAATAAAAAGAAAACAGTCATTCTGTCGACTTCATGTGGTTGAACATGATGTCCATTGAGTTGAACAGCTTTCAAATGAAGTGGTTATAACAAAAATAATAATAATTATGTGTCAGCTGTACGCCGTAACGGCGCTTCGCTGCCGTGCGATCACCACTAGTCGCACGCGGGCTGAGTATACCGCGAGGACGCCTACTTCTTCGGGGATTCGAACCCGCGCCGCAAGATTGCGAGACAAGCTCGTTACCTCTAGCTATGGACCGACGGTTATAACAAGTTGCGATTGACGTCCAAGAACCATACGAGAGTGAGCATCTCCGTCCCAACTCCTATGGCCAAAAGTCTATTCGAAAAAGTTGATTCAACTCACCAACATTACAATAAACATACGGAGAAAAGACGTATGGAAAAAACTGGAAAAAATTTCTGTCCGAAACTTTGTGATTTTTGTACTTATTATGTGCATCTAATCAATAATTCTCGATGGCTCTGTCTACTGTATAAATACTGCTATTATATGGTAGACAGCGTCCGGTTCCGGATACATCTGTCAATGTAGATTCTATGGGGACAACAACAGGACGCCTGCGCCTACAAAGGGGACCATAGGTGGCTTGCGCTGCACTACCCACAGCTCCATCCACACGCCCCATATCCGGTGTAAACCCGAAAGAATAAGACCGGAAGGCATGCAGGTGGGACCCAGGTTTCCTCAACGGAGCCGGACCACACTCCTTCAACACACACAGCAGCAACATTCTTGTCTATCTAATTTGCGAATCACACATATGAGACGGCTACAGGGCAGTGGCTCGGCCGTAGCCCACCCACACTGGATGAAACCACACTGAGCCTAGCAGGTTCACGAGCATCATGCAACCCGTCGCCCCAAGTAACGAGTAAATGTCTCTTGCAACTAGTTTCATAGGGGATGTTCCGCTGTCCTCAGGGAGTCGTTCCAGTCCAACTTTATCCTACACCATTGCCGTCCTTTGGCATTCTTTTGGCTACAGGTTAGCTTGTAATCCGGTATTGTTCCAAGCTATTAGCTCATTGCAGCAATTTGAAACCACAATACGCACACTAAATCTGACAGTTCTTTTGTGTTGCTCACCTGTTGAATACTGAATACTGTATTGTTGAGCAAGTAGAAATGAATTATGTACAACTCCTTCGAAATATGGTGAAAATGTTTTCTGAAATTGTTACGCGCAAATATCGGTATCATTCTCATGTACCATTTAAAATACCTGACCCATGGTATTGCAGACCCACAAATGTGAGACGTCATCGTAAGTTCCCACTCGTTCTCCGAACCGAATAGTGGTAAAGTGTAAATCCAACAACGCTTTGAACCGCTGCACAGGTATGGCTTCCATCACATGTTTAGGTAAACTGTTACAAATAGTTACCACTCTCCGTTCGAAGCACAGTGGGTGGGGAACACGTTTCACATCCGGCACGACAAGTTTGTATCTGTGTCCGCATGTGCTGCATGGCCCTCGTAAGTGCACCATCGGTCTCAGCATGGGGAACTCACTGATACGCAGAATTCGGTAGGTCATAATGAGGTCGACTCGCAACCAACGGCAGGACAAGGTGTAGAGTCCTAGTTTCTCGCACCGGTCTTCATACCCCAAGCCACGTAAAGTCGGGATGAGCCTGGTAGCAACGTGTTGGACCCGTTCGATCTTTTGTGCCTCGCCTCGGGTAATCGGAAGTAGGCGCGCGAACCGTACTCTAGCATTAGTCTAATAATGTAAGAGAACAGGTGAGTGGCAACCTCTTCAGACCATGTGCCGTAGCTACGTTTGAGTACCCAAAGCCTGCTCGTAGTGTCCACCGACTTCAAATCGCAGCACGGGAGTACACCTATGTCCTTCACCGAGGGTGTAAGATATAGCGGTTGACAGTCAAGGGTTCGGCGTTCAGTACTCTTCCCCAGACTCATAAATACAGACTTGGCTGGGTGGACCGGGTTGACCGCCATGTGGATAGGCAGTTTAGGTCCTATTGAAGTATACCACAGTCGTCGGGAGTATCGATTTCCCCCAAATTCGTCATGTCATCCGCAAACAAGACACCCGGTGACCGGAGAAGCCGATGTATATGGTTTATGTGGATCAGGAACAGAGTGGACCCCAGTACAGTGCCTTGAGGTACGCCACTTGTAGAGGAATACCAGTCATTTAGATGGTCGTCGACTTGTACCCTCCACTTTCGTCCAGCAAGAAAGTCACGGATCCACCGGTGCAGTGAGCAACCGACGCCGCACATCCTGAGTTTGTGAAAGAGGATCTCATGGCTGATCTTGTCGTACACTTTATTGAAATCGATGAATATCACGTCGACAGACTTCCTCTTGCTAATTGTTTGCAAGCACTCATGCCTCGTTACAATCAAGTTTGTAATGCATGAGCGACCTTGCATAAAACCGTGGTGAGCGGACGTCAGGAGCGCTTATGATTGTAGCAACTGCAGCAATTTTTTCACAATTTTCTCAGCAATCTTTGCCAAAATAGGTATCAGACAAATTGGCCTGTAGTTGTCTACTTTGCTAGGGTCGCCGGCTTTCGGAATAGGCTTCAGAACCGAACATTTCCAGTTAATCGGCAACAAACCCACGGACAGCGACCTGTTGGGAAAGTCAGTCACGGCAGAAGAGACGATGGCCCAAAGTGACTTGAGAATCAGTGGGTGAAGCCCATCAGGTCTAGCAAGTTTGGTGCCGTCAAGGTTGCCGAGTAGTTGAGATACGTTTACAATGCCGCAATCCAGGCTGTGGAGTTCGGTAAAAGTGGTACACGTCGAATTCAGTACAGACACCTGATCATTTTCAAATACAGAAGCGAAGTGCGCCGCCAACGCGGACGCACGCCCAGTGCTGGAGGTTAGGGGTTACCCGTCCCGGCCATACAGCAATGGCACATCATCTGCCAGCTTCAAGCGTCGCTCACATAAGCAAAGATTCTCTTTGAGGCGGTCTTCGCAGCGACTGTGAGCTGCTCTTCGAAATGTGGGCGCTTATTCCTTTTCGCACTTTTGCAGAGGTTCCGCTGACTTTTAAAGGCATTGTAGTCATCAGCAGAGTCAGAGAGGAAAAATCTGTCCCACAATCTGGGCCACCTCCGAGCCAGATTTCCATACTCCTTGTTAAACCAATGAGGCCTAACCGGTCTAATCTTCCGACATTTCAAGGGGACAAATAGGAAACACAATGACGCCAACTTCTCTTTCATAAATGTCCAACAGCCTTCCACAAATGTAGCTTGTGATAGAGACCAATCTAGTTGACTGGCGGCTCGAGCTAGACCGTCGAAGTCCGTTTTCAAGTAGTTGTAAGCTGGCTCCAGCGGACGTGAATAGAGTAAAGTTAATTCCATATCAGCTATGAGCACTGAATGGTGGCTTGTAGCCAGGGACTCCAGAATCCAAACGGCACGCACTCGTTGTTCGTTAACATCAGGTCGAGCGTAGTGTTATGAGTATTGGCTGGCATGTGTTGCGAGGCACCAGTTTCAAGTACCAAATCCACGAACTTTCCTTCAACCTCAATGTGTTATTAATAATGACTAGCAGATGAATATATACTTAAAGTTCACCAGCGTTACAGTTGCGACATAAACGGACACTTGCGAAGATCCTTGCCTTTCAAGAATGATGGCTGAAACCAAATAAGATGTGTACTGTACCACAAAATGAGTTTGCAAAGCTTCTTGTTGTGGTTCATCATCATCATTAGGGGTTGAAACAACCAAGCTATTACGCCACAATACACATCAATTAGTTGGTGGTAAAAAAAGCGAAAAGACAAAACAAACGGAGCGAATTAAAAATGTTATTATGCATTTTTTAAATGTTATGTGCTGGCGTCGTAATCATGGTTGTAGGGATGCAGAAGTACAAAGAAACTCACGTATCAAATGCCATCGAAGTCAGCTCTTCACCATGTCAACAATTGTCTATAACCAAGCGTGTTGATGGTCTTTTGGACCCCAAGCAGGAAATCGAGAGGCTCCAACTGAGGTCAACTTCGAAGCGAGATCCTTCACTCCTCTCAGCCAAACTATCTGCTAGCCTCCCTTCCATCTAAATCCTGTCGTGCAAACAACATACGGTCCACTTCCATGGCTAGAGCAATATCGCGAGGCGCCAAAAGAGGTCTGTCACTTCATCCAATATTCCACAAATTCCGATATAGTTGCCCAGGTACTTGGATTTTTGGCCGACATCTAATTAATCCCCACCCTTAGTCGCAACACGGAGTGAAGCAATGGTTTACATTAATAGGGTGCAAAATGAAACTCAAAATTTATTACGAGTGCTAATCTGTCCAAAGCTGTGTGGCATGTTTGTAGACTGTCACAACTTAAGACAATATCGTTCGCTTGCTCTACGTCGATCACCTGGTAATGGCATTGCCATTTAGTCAACGGCACTCTCGCGTTCGCACCTTCATTTCACATCTCAACTGCTCCACATGATGAATTTGCTTTCCGCCCACTTCTGAAATATTAATACTATTAAGTTTATTGACATGATTAAGGTGACAAAACTAAACCGCCCATCAGCGTACGGATCTACGTTGAGGAAAGGAAATGTACCGAAGCTGAAAACTACTCAGTGAACGTTTCTGAAATGTGCAAACAATACCTAGCAGAAAGCTGCGGTCATACATGATGTCCCAGTTTTTTAGCAGTTACCGTGGCTTTGCTTCACGAAGGGCAATAATGCAGTGTTGAACACCAAACACGGTACCCCACCGTATCCATAAGCAGATGCTTTGCAAACCCACAGGAGCCATACGGGCGTATGCAAGAACTCCGTAGGGAGATCGGTCGGTCGGAACAATACAATCACGTACATAAATGTACCAGTTGATCGTCCCAATGGCTGTTCGTTGGTAATTAAAATTAGTGTTGTGTCGAGTCAGAGTTTCAACCGATAGTTAGACCATGAGGACGGTACACTGTAACACACTTCATTGCCACGCCGGCCCGTAGCCTTAAGGATCATAAGCCTACGTCGTAATCCGAGGGCGCGGGTTCGAGCCTGCGTAGGGACCGGGTGACCCCCGCAGTATACTTAGCCCACGTGCGACCGGTGGTGGTTGCGCGGCAGCGAAGCGTCGGTGCTGCGTACCGACGTACTGTTGATGCCTTTTTACCACCATTAATCTCACGCGGACGAAAAGTATTACGACGTCACTTGCATATATACCCAGATTCGAATCGGTGATATTTGGGCCACAAGGCAGACGCGCCGTCCCTTCGGCCACAGGCCACGTGGTTTGGGTATACTGAATTTGTCGACAGGTAGCCAGGACCGACATATGAGTGGACGTCATCACCTGGCAAGCTAGTCACTGTCAGTGACAGTGGAAGATAGGTGGTGCTATATCCCAGTTAGATAGCAAAGTATGTAGCTCAGCCAACGGACCTCATGGCTTAGTGGCTTAAGTTGCTGGTTAGTTTGCATATGCCTCTAGCGGTCATAGTTTCGATCCCCATCAAGGGACCGATGGAATGCGCACTACTAACGAGCCCCAATAGGGCAAGACGTGTCCTGTGCTTTTCCGGACTACGCTGAGCTATGTAGCTTGTGAACTACTGGGATGAATACCTTAAAAATTGCAGATAAAATCCTGCTACTTACGATTAATATAAGATATATAGCCTCTCTAAGTTTAAATGCTAGGGATATAGCGTCTAGCGAGAGGAAGTCATTACCTCGCAGGCTGGCCACTGTCAGTGACAGCGGAAGATAGGTGATGCTATATCCCAGTTAGCTTGCAAATTATGCAGCTCAGCCAACGCCACCCATGACTCAGTGGCTTAAGCTGCTGGCTAGTTGGCATCTGCCTCTAGCGGTCATGGGTTCGATCCCCAGTAGGGGACCGATGGAATGAGCATCACTTACGAGCCCCAATAGGGTGAAACGCGTCCTGTGCTTTTCCGGACTAGGCTGTGCTATGTAGCTTGTGAACTAATGGGATGAATAGCTTAAAAGTCCAAATGTGTTATACATGGGATCGGTTGCAGGAAGACACTGGGATAGATTTCTCAAGCAAATTTGCCACATGTAAGTAAACCACAAAATTAGGCATCAGGCGAAGTTGGACTATTGAAAGACGACTTGATGTCAGAGCACCTAAAGCATGGTGACATGTTTAATGCAATTCTAACGAAGGGGGCTCACCCAGATTAATGTGATTCGACAGTGATTGGAGCAGTGAGCAGAGACATCAAGATATAGTTGAACAAGCTTGAAATAAGTAGACAACAGTGGTACTCTGGTAATTACAACAGTTCGTTGAATCTGTGGAACGGGGTAGCTGATGCCAGTCACCAAGTAAAAGACAATACCAATGCTAGCATCATGTACTTAGGTCCAGTTCATCCTATCACTTCTGTCATGCCCTGCCACAAGTTCGCTTGATTATGCTTCATGATGTTTTAAACTCGTATATATATATATATATGTATATATATATATATATATATATGTATATATATATATATATGTATATGTATATATATATATATATATATATATATATATATATATATACATACATACATACATATATAAGAGATGGAAGCATCCGTATCCGGATTTGCCTCTGGCCTCCATGGGGACAGTCACAGGACGTCTGCGCCTACAAAAGGGACCATGGGTGACTTGCGCTGCACCATCCACAGTTCCACCTACACACCCCATATTCGGTGTAAACCCGAAGGAATAAGACCGGGAGGCATGTGGATGGGAACCAGGTTTAGTCAACGGAGCCCGCCCACACTCCTTCAACAAGCAGCACAGAAGCATTCCGGCCTAATTGGGAAACCAAGCACACGAGACGTACACATGCGGTGGCTGGACCGTGGCCCGTTCCACACAGGATGGAACCACTCTTTTTACGCTAGCAACGTCATGAGGACAGTGCACCCCGTCCCCTCCAGCAACGACCAACTGTCACTTGGAGTCAGTATGGACGAGGTAGTGGGTAATAGACAGGTAGACACCTTGTCAACATACACATCAGGCGCAGCCACAGCGAGGACCTCAAACAACATCAACTTCTGAAAAGCGAGATTACTCAGCACGCACGCAAACGTACCACATACGCCGCCTTATTGGCCTGGATTAGTAAATCGAATGGGAGCGTACACATCATGGTTCTATTCCGCGTGCAATAGTACCTTCTACTGCACCTGAGCAAACGCCCTTATGATCAGTCCACGGAGTTCGCATCGATCAAATTTGCCTTGGATTCGCAACACCTGAAATCGACATGAGTTTGTCATAAACTCACCTTCTTCATGTTCTCGTAATGTTACTTTCGGTTTGCCCCAGTGCCGCGTCCCTGCATTAAGTTGGCTGTACAAAAGCGGTACGAGTATCCTCGTCGAATTCATTCGGTATATATCTATACATGGATTGGCGTCATCCGTGCCCAATGGTAGTTCGAATACAACATATGCACATGTGTGTATCCAAACTTAAGTGTGATCTGCTAGAAATTGGATAGAGACACATTAGATCTCCGGATCAATGGTGCTGCAAAGGGGTATAGGTTTCGTTTGGATGTCAGGCTAATAACCACTTTCGCCGGCATGACAATAAGTACCCAATACGAACTGCTTATGTTTTCTTCAACATTTGGACGACAACCTTAAGTCTTGGGCATCCATATTTGTAGGAATCCGATATAGGAATAATGAAGCAACTGTTAGGTAAAATGATAAATAAACTAGTGGTACAGTAAAATAGTGTGCACTTAGGTGTTGTCGTCTATATGTATAGTCTGTTTTGCGTAACAGATGGGGGAGATTGCACAGCATGCGAATGCGATGGAGTGTCTACTTCTGTCTCTCTGTGTCGCCGACCGATTCGGTCATCTGCTGTCCGAGGTATGTGCAGATAGTCAAAGCACGATACATGTGTAACCTTTGATATTGACATGTGACATCAACCAAGTTCCACTGCCCACTGTCAAACATGCGACTTTCTAAAGTGTACGCATTGTTTTGCAAATGTAAAAGTAGTCAACCGTTTGTACATACCGATGTCTACCCTACTATGGCCTTAAGCTATTTGCTAACGATCTATATCGTACGTCTCAGGTGCATCCATTAGGTGCTCATAAAACGATTGTCGCTATGCGTCGATTCCTTTCCGATGTATTATACTAAGACACCGACGTACCATTCCCGTTGGGTTTAACCTTTTACTTAGTCTATCCAAAAGATTGGTCATGTGCAATGCAACTTCTTGTAGGCGTCTCTGCGCTTCCGCCTTCCATCCGCTTAGTACATGCGTTTTCATAAGCTCCGGTAAATTCAGTATGGGTGATGAACAACTGGAAATATAACTATACTCTCATCACTAACTTGCGGAGTGGAAACAGGAACTGGCAACATCCTGATAAGCGCTAGTCAGTTACTTGTCGGATTTGTTCACTTGCCACAGAATTTCCAGGGAAATTTCTCTTCGAATGCATAGTCCAACGTGGTCACACGGGGGACAATGATTGAGCATTGTGTTCCAAATGTTACAATTTACACTTTATGCGTACTGTAAGCGGCCAAGCGATGATAACCTTTTGATTCAAGCGTATCCACTGAAGTGGAAACATACTCCATCATTTTCCACCCAAGCATATATATATATATATATATATATATATATATATATATATATATATATATATATATATATATATATATATATATATATATATATATGAGCTCAAAACATCACGAAGCATAATCAAGCGAACTTGTGGCGGGACATGACAGAAGTGATCGGATGAAGTGGACCCAAGTACATGGTGCTAGAAATAAAAAGAGATCAAAAGTAAGTAATAAGTGATGAAAAGAAGAGAAAAGGGAGAGGTGCAACGGCGTACCGATTTCGGCCAACATGTGTCGGGAATCGAGTGCAACAAACGTTGAATCAGCGTTAAATAGACACCAGCAGCACGATCCAAGATGAGAAGAAACTGGAGTTTAAGCTTCATGGTGTTCGGTGATTGTCCAGCAAAGTTCGTCGACGTGGTTGGGCGTGGGTGCAGCTTGAAGGATACAAAGTAAAGAGAATGATGGGTTGGACGGTGTGTAAGTGCCACAAAAGGAAGAAATAAAAAAGGATGAGAACAAGGCAAAAACTACAACCCAGAACAAAAGGAAGTTTGCGCAGATTTGTGTTAAAATGAGACCAATTCCGTGGCGCATCCCGTGTATCTTCAGCGCTATTCATACCAGAAGTTAGATTTTATGAACCTATATAAAGTAAGTCTCCACATCATACTTAACGGAAATTGTGGAGTGACTGTAACCCCCTCCTTCGAGAAAGGAATGGTAAGTTAGGTTCATTACCAATATGTTTAGCACCATGAGAGCTTGAGAGGTCGTTATAGGATCGACACTGATCAGACGAAAACTGAACAAGCCTGTAAAACTGAACAGAAGATTACCGTCACAAAATCAAAAAATTTAGTAGGTAAACTATCACGTTGCCTTATCTAGTGTTTAAAAAAGGTGGCGATATCGCAGGACAGAATTAAACAAAAATAACAACCACGGAAAGAAAACAAAAGTTAAAATATGCTGGTCGATCTATAATACTTCCCAGACAGATTAAGCCAAAGGGCACTCAATTTCAGCCCTAAGATTTTGGGCTTAATCCACGTGCCTGTGGTCGCCTTTGCACACGCGGTGACGTAGCTGTCTCATTGGTCATGTGCTGTCACCCATTAGGAGGTCGGATTTAGGTATAAAGGGAAAGCTATATACGGAGGGGGCGAAGGGTGGCCGACCGCGCATGCTCGACAGCAATTCATCCCCAGAGCGATGACGGATGGCAGGACGCGGGTGAGACTAGGGAAGCGTTGGATCAGCAGATGAAGTTGAGACACTGTAGGACAAGGGGTCGGAGCCTGTCTCACCTTATCGCTATAACAAATCCTGTCGGGGAACGGAGTTGCTATTTGTTTCGCATTCCATCACAGCCGGTAGCCAGTGTCCTTGCACCAAAACTCACCAGGTGCTTGTCCGAGTAAGCATTTACATACGATGGACAGGTTGCGCGTGCGCGCGCGCCAACAGACGAAAGACAATCGACGCACGTAGGCGACGCCACTGATGCGACCACCGCAGAGCACGAAGCTTCCTGACATCAAGAGATAGCGATTTTCTATGTACCAGGCTGCGCACTAATATTTTACTGCGGCTACTAATGCGACAGTCTTAGTGTATGTTCCACGGATAGCAACAGTTGTTTTTCAAGCTAGGGAGACACGCACATAAAATAAGCGAGTGAGGTTAAGTCGAGAATGTGCTTCATACACCTATGGAGAGTAAACCTAAAGCTCTAATGAGTTCGCACCGCAATAAAGTTAGTGCTTAACAAGGCCCGTAATTGGTGAGGGTGTGAACCACAACTACGCATGCACCCATGCCATGATGAACTGTTGATGTGCTATCCTGTCCGCGCAATATGACGGCCAGCTGTCCTATCTGGGTGTGTTTTCGTGTGCTCGCAAAGGCAAACATGGAATGTGACAACAAATGGCTTACCATGACCAAATATGTTGTTAAACAATTCATGACATCTTTAATACCTCTGTTCCTTGCCCATAAGTTATTAAATTTTCATGAAACCATAATTTGTTACGCGCACCTGAACGTTGGAGCAGCCAGAGTGACCGATTTGCATGCCCGGTCGTCCCAGTTGGACACACTTGACCCCAAAGTGTTGAAAGTGGTGCTTCAGTGCAAATGCATAGCTGAAGAGACACTGGAGATGTGTCGCACGCGTGGTAACAAGCTTCGATCGGAGTATCGATTGAAGGAGTTTAAAACCACACCCCAGTCGACGGAGGCAGAGCGAAATCATTGCTGCTTATAAACAACGGCAGGAAACCTTTCTATTGTATCGTAAAGCTGCGATGTACGACAGCCTCCCAGAGAAACAGCGACTTGCGTAATGACCACGTTAACCGAGACTGCATCACGTGAGCTTCTATCAGCCGACATACAGAAGCTCAAAGTCCAATATCAGTAGTTCACCAAAACGCCGATTACTTGACAATCTCAGAAAGGTCGGCTTGAAATCTCACCACACACCCACGCCTACAAACACGGGTGCTACATTGGAAACACTATCCCGTTTTTACACGAGGCGCAAGGCCTCCTTAGCAAGTTTTCTGAGTTGCATTGTTGCAAACCTTCGACGCCCTGGGACATGACCACGCTGCGACCTAAAGCGCATGGACAACACGAATATACTCTAGGGAAACCCCCTTCTCATGCCTTGGGGGCTCCAACGTAGCCTCGTCACTTAGTCCGAAGAGATTGCCACTCGTCTCTTCGTCTCAATAATGCGACCAATGCTAGAGTACGGCTCACCAGCATACTGTCCTATCATGTGGGTCGAGGTAAAAAGGATTGAGCGGGCAGAGGTAGTATAGGGGGTGGGGTGGGGGCAATACGCCCCGGGCAGCATGTTTGGAACAGATGAGTGTTCGCTACCAAGTCTAAATTCATGGAAATTGCCTAGATTTTTGTAGTGGTACAATTGGGGAATGATAATCATACTGAGATTGCAGATGAAAATGGCGCCACAAATGTTGATCTCCGGAACGCAGTAAGTGATATTGAAAGCATGGATGCAGTGGGAAATGTTGGTAATGCTGATGCAGAAGATGCGCGCGAAGTTGGAGAATTGGAAGTGCAAACACACTTTGGCATGATATCACGTATGTCTATCGATTTTATGCACGTCCATCAGTGGCATGCTAAGAGTGACCATGAAATTCTCACTATTCTTGTCCGGCTCTGATTTATTGCTGTGAAGCACGTCGGTCATGAATCCAGTAAATGGTACTACATGGAACGAATACAAAGCTGAGGCTAAAAAGTTAACAACTAAGTCGTTCTCTCGAGAGTTGTGAGAAAACGAGCAAAGATTGCGAACATTGATGGTGTATTTTCTTTTAAAATAGGACCTGTTTTGTTTCAGCTGCAGAATGTTTTCAACTGGATAGTGTTTTTGGACTGATGAGGGTTTCAGAAGGTGGTAGAATCTAAATCCAAAAGCATATGAACGCGAATCTGATAAATCGTGTGTTCACTCATTTCCTAACAGCAACGAGCCAGGAATCCGGTGGCAAGTTGAAGGAAGGCAATTACAGAAATGACGGTGTGAAATTTTGCCTAGAATACTTGATATCGTCAAGTTTCCCATGAAACCAACTGGACAGTGTGTGTGTGGTCTCCAAGACTCATCCAGGATGACGAAAGAGGCCAGGAGAAAGAGGGAATTTTTCAGAATTTGTACATTTGTTGGCCAAGTATGAGCCTGTTCTTCGTGAACATTTGGTGACAGTTCATCTGGGAAGGAAAATCAGCATTTTTTTCACTGTCGCTACACGTTCAAAGTAAATTAGTGAGCATTTTGGTAAGACAAGTGATAATGAAGATTACAGATTAGATCAGGGAAAGCAAGTATGTTTGCGTAATGCTTAGTAACACTCTCGATGTATCTCACAAATATCAGATGAGTGGAAGTGAGTTGGTGGTACAGGAGTCGTTTCTCAGCTTCAATGGGAATAACAGTAAAAGAGCAGAGGAAATTTCTGGATTGGTATTGTGAGATGCGGAGAATCACGAAATCAGATTGGTGACTGCCCCGTGGCCAGGCATTAAACAGGGCTGCTGGTATGACGGGCTATCAGTCAGGTGTGCAGAGTCCTTTACGAAAACAATCCAAAGTTACATTTGTGTCATGTACACACGATTCCCTAAATCTGGCTTGTGCTCATGAAGTTTCTGCGACCGTTCATCCTGTTATGTATTTGACAGGATAGACCGGCTATTCCCATCCCTTTTACTTCTAACTATTGCTGGAATGTATTGATTCAAGTCACCGATACACGTATCAAATAGCTGTAAAATCTAGATTGAGTAGTCGAGCAGGCGTTGTAAATGTTGTGGTGAAGAAATATGCGGAACTCATCACTTCTCTGAAACATTCCACCGAATAAGGAGAAAATGCAACCACAAGATCAGATGCATCTTTACTTCTCACCTCGGTATTATTGTTACCGTTTATTTCGTTTCTAAGCCTTTGGAGCTCTTTGCTCATAGAAATAAAGGATGCATGGGAATGTCTAAACAAAAGGGGCTGGATCTGCGGCAAAGTTCTGTCAAGCTTACAATGTTAACAGTTTG